TGGAAAGCTGATCTGATATTTACACGGGTCCTACTTCTTACCTTATCGTTCCGCAGGCGTTTTCCTCTTTTGTTTTTTTATCCGCCATCTCTATCTTTCTGTCGCTCGGCTCGGCTAATGTCCGTCCCATGCACTGAACGCGCTCTCCTCCACATCACGAGTAGACACGCCCCTTATTGCTGATTGGCTACAAGTTTGTTTTGCCATTCGGCCCGAATCAGTTTTCTAAAGTGTGTTTGAAAAATCACATACCCTGCCTTTAAACCCCTAATAGTTACTTTCTCATTTCTCATAGCCCAAGTCTATTTTAAAAGTCTGCTATATACAAAAAACGTAAATTTAAAATTAAAAAAAGTCATAAATCAGTATTACGTATATTGGCGTCATACCTCTGCAGTTCTGAAGGGGCTGTACTGAAGCAGGTTGATTGCTATAATAATGTCACAAGAGCTTTGTGGAAGTCCTGCCCATTTCTCCCAGGGTTGACTGGCATCCAGATACACCAGCTCCAGCACTGTTTTTGCCTTAGTGGCCCCTATATAAGCTTTGATACTGCAGCAGAGACGCCACATTACAAACCCTGATAATAATGACATTTGTAATTACACGGTAACAAAGAAAACAACCTGTGTACTGTACCTGTTCTGTGCTTCCTCCTTGATGTCTGAAGGCTGCCACGTGACAAAGGGCATTTCTTGAGCGAAGTGCGCCACATGCTGCCCTGTGCCTGATCCCAACTCAAGACCAAACAGCTCACGGTGAGACTGATCCTCCAGTAGCTCCCAGAGCACCGACAGCAAACCGTCCTGACTGCGCTCAGCTGCAGGAGAGAGCAGCATGATCTGCAGAAGAAAGGAACATTTAGTGGACTCTTGCTAAATGTTGAACATATTTATTTCTGTAAGCCAGGACCATGCATGTTATAAATGTTGCTGATACTTACGCTGCACTGTTGTTGCTCAGTGATGGCTGAAGGAGCAGCAGATGGATCAGGAGATTACCTGGATAAGAGGCTTCTGTCTGCTCCTCCCCTTCAAGTTCTGCACAACCAAAGAACTCAATATAACTTTATTAAAGAACCAAAGAGAGCATGCTAATTACCTTTCTATCTTGGATTTAATTTTGTGAATTAGGATGCTATTTTATTTTATACAGCACTCTGAAATGTCTGGTTCTGGTTAAACCGTTGTTTCATTTGGCCATAAAGCACATCAGTATAACACATAAAACACATTTTGAGCTATAGCCACACAAGTGACTAAACTGTACAAGAAAATCAGGAAATTACATGATTCGTGGGAATCTTCTGTGGGTTAATCAGTTTTCTGAGGGTTAATTTATCTCAAATGGTCCAACATAGGTTGCTCGACCATTAGGTGTGTATTTATTTATTTATTTCACTCGCTCGCTTGCTGGCTGGTTTGCTGAGTGATTACCTCTGTGTATTATTATTACATAATTAAAACAAAATACAACAGTAGTTATTAATTTTATTTTATTTGGTTTAAGCACAGTGGCCATTTAAGGGTCTTTTTATAATAGGAAGGATTTGAGAGACTAATTTTTACGGAGCACCTAAGTATTGTATGCATGCAGAACATTTTTATATATATTTTTTTTTATAGGGACCTGTAATTTTCACAGATAGCCCTATATGGCAAGTAAATAAATACATTTAAATAAGTTCATTTTAAATGTAGCGAGATTCGGATTTCTGTCAGTGGCGTTATTTCATACATTGCCTACTAATATTTTAGCTCGATATTTCTAGGATTTGTTTTAGAGACTTTTATGCAATTTATGTAATGCGTCTCAGTCATTCAGAGACTTTTATTTTAAAACCCCATGTATGTAGGTTTTTATTTCTGTACGTTTTCTTTAATATGTTTGCCCATTGTTTTAGGAGGCTATTTATCTTTAAATTAAGACATTTATTTAAGAGAAGGGGTTTTGTAAAACAACGTGACAGGAGTATTTTAAATAAAGTTTTGTCCCCCCGGCGCGATGCATTGTGGGTGGGTCAGGAAGAGCCAGTGGAGGACGCCATGTGCTTCTGCTAGAGGAGGTCTGACAGTCAGTTTCACACTGAGAGAGTTGTGTTTTGGGATCTGGCCTGTCGTTTTGTAGCGTTCACTGAACGGTTAGTCGTGCTCATGATGTACTGCAGCAGATACTGCGTCTGGATCGCGCTGCGGACCGCGGCAAACACACACCGGTAAGAGCCTGACAAAACCCCCTGCGTCTGCCAGCGCTCAAGGACAGAGAATTTACCAAGAATATTTCACATACTAGAGGTATCAGCAATGTCGCTGTCAATGAAACCCATACAGATATTATTATCATCTAAAGTGCACAAAAATCAACCGTAATGTGCTCCGATAAGATTCTGACATGATGCATCTTTATCCTGCAGCAGATCTGATTCTCTCAACGTCAAAAGTCAGGGAATATGCATGTAATAGCATAGTTCATATACTGTTTTAATGTTTACTTGAAAATGCAACTAAACGAGAATAACAGTGTAATTTACCGGAATGGAAGGTCACGTGACTTCTGTTAATGAATCATAAATGTATAATTTCCTCTCTATATTTCTAATGGTGGTCAGCCGATATTTAAAAAGCTGTGTGCTGACATGCAGGCTGAGACCACACTGAAAACCTGGGATTTGTTTTCTTGTTTGCACCTGGAAACTATTTTTAAATGGTTGAAATTAAGAAGCTCTGATATAATGCTCATTAGCATTTAATATGGTTTATTATTGAATCACCAATTAAATGTAACCACATCTGTGACATTGACCATGTGCACTCCTTTGTACTCAAGGTCAGTAGTGGATACGCTAACCTCAAGTTAAGAAACCTTTATTAGTATTATGCTGACAGTAGTATATTGTGCAACAAAAAATGCTAAATGGATCCATTTTCACTAGTGGTCTCAAGACTTTTAGAATCCACTGATTATTTATAATGCAATTTAATAGAAACGCACCGTTCAAAGTTTTGGGGTTGGTAAGATTAAATGTTTTTAATTTATTTGATTTTATTTATTATTATTGTTTTATTTACACCTAGGCTGCATTTAAAGGAATATATCACCCAAAAATGAAAATTCTGTTATCAATTACTCACCCTCATGCCGTTCCAAACCCGTAAGACCTTCGTTCATCTTCAGAACACAAATTAAGATTTTTATTTATTTTTTAATTATATGTCTTTGCCTTTATTAGGATAGGACCGTATATTAGACAGGAAGCGAAGTGGGGGAGAGAGAGGAGGGGGGCGGGGTCAGGAAAGGTCCGCGAGCCAGGACTCAAACTTGGGACGCCCGAAGCGCCCACGAGGCTGTTGGCGCCGACAAATTAAGATATTTTTGATGAAATCCTAGAGCTCTCTGACCCTGCATAGACAGCAATGCAACTGACATGTTCAAGACCCAGAAACGTAGTAAGAACATCGTTAAAATAGTCCATGTGACTGACATCAGTGGTTCAACCTTAATGTTATGAAGCTAAGAAGAATTGTTGAATAAAGTCGTTATTTTTGTTTTCTTTGCACACAAAAAGTATTCTCGTAGCTTCATAACATTACGGTTGAACCACTGATGTCTCATGGACTATTTTACCGATGTCCTTGCTACCTTTTTGTGCCTGGGAACATTTCAGTTGCGTTGCTGTCTATGGGAGGGTCAGAGAGCTCTTAGATTTCATCAAAAATATCTTAATTTGTGTTCTGAAGATGAACGAAGGTCTTACGGGTTTAGAACGACATGAGCGTGAGGAATTAATGAAAGAATTTTTTCAATTTTTGGGTGAACTATTCCTTTAATTGGTGAAAAATACAGTAAAATCAGCAATATTGTGAAATATTATTTATATACAAATACAATTTAAAGAGAGAATTTTCAGCATAATTACTCCAGTCAGCAGTCTACTCACATGATCCTTCAGAAATCATTCTAATATCCTGATTTGCTGCTCTTTTGCTAACAGAGAATAGATGCACTATATGGTATTTGTTGCTGCTTTTTGTGCTCATTATTGTTGTCTGATGGACTCATTTCACAGACACAACCTACAGAGGGCAGCACTGTGTGCCCTGCGAACACTCAAGACCAGCACTGTCAGGCCATCTGATGCCATTGCAACACCTCAGCTTGATGGGACACCCAAGCAGTACTCTCCCAAAATCCAACAGCTGGTCAATGACATCGCCAACCTCAAGCTCATAGAAGTGTCTGACCTCAATGAATTACTAAAGGTGCAGCACAAAACACCAGCCAAATAATGCTGTTTAATGCAAGACAAAATACAAGAAGTGCACTTGTATTGCACTTCAAATCTTAAAGGGTTAGTTCACCCAATAGTGAAAATTCTGTCATTAATTACTCACCCTCATGTCGTTCTAAACCCGTAAGATCTTCGTTCATCTTCGGAACACAAATTAAGATATTTTTGATGAATTCTGAGAGGAGCGCAAAAGAAAAGAAAAAAAAACTACTTTATTCAACAATTCTTCTCCTACACGTCACCCTGGTTCTCGTATCTTCATAAAATTACGGTTGAACCCCTGATGTCACATGGATTATTTTACCGATCTCCTTGCTATGTTTCTGAGCCTTGATCGTGGTAATTACATTGCTGTCTATGGGAGGGTCAGAGAGCTCTCAGAATTCATCAAAAATATCTTAATTTGTGTTCCGAAGATGAACAGAGGTCTTACGGGTTTAGAACAACATGAGGGTGAGTAATTAATGACAGAATTTTCATTTTTGGATGAACTATCCCTTTAAAAGTATGTTTTTTTTTTTTTAAAGAAAAACTTGCAGTTAATCTAATATTAATGAAATATATAGACACTTAAGTGTATAATCTTTTGTAAACGTAATGGTCAAATATAGTTCTTCTCTACATACGAAGTTGCTGAATTTGAAATTGTGAATATTCACTATATCGCCCAGCTCTAAGTATGATCATCTTTACTGATATAAATGTTGTTTTTTTGTCCCCGTTAGAAAACTCTGAACATTCAGGATGTTGGAATGATGCCCATGGGCTCAATGGCAGCAATAGCAGCTGCTCCTGCTGCTGAGGTAAAGCTTTATTAGTCATACAAGACTAGTATGTGGCACAATACATATTGTACTTTGTTGTTGTTTTTAGGAGCTTTGAGTAGGGCTGTGAAAATGGCTGAAAAACGAAATTCGAGTTTCGTACTTTAATATTATCAATATTCAAATTATATTCTAATTGAAAAGGCATAATTTCAGTTAGGGTGAAGAAAAACTTTTGGTTTCTCTCCTGAGGCCACAAGAGGGCGCATCAAGCAAAACATTACTAATGCCCGTTTATTCAAAGCAATAAAATAACAAGACTATCTTTGAAAAAAGTGCATAATGTTTAAAATAATGTTTATAAACCATATATAATTAAGTTTCTTAAACAATTAGAAACAAAACAGCATCATGTATGTGTAGTTTTATACAAAGGAATGAAAACCAATGACAAAGAGTACTTTCTTCATTTAAAAACATGAGATGCAGTGTGATGGGGAAAAACCGCCATCAAGTCTCGATGTTTTTTTAAAAGTTGAACTTGCATTAATTTTACATGGCTTTCTAAACATGCGGCTCCTTTGTGCGAGATGCGAGTGCAACGGTGATAGCTGTCCCTCTAGAAAATGCCATACATATGCGTTCGTTCCGTGTGATTGGCTTGGTTTCAGTTTTGACATAAACAACATCATCTCCGCATTTATGTTCTCTTTTTCCGCAATATTTTGAATGTACAACATGGCAGCGCCGCATCTAGTGGCTTCAACTGGATAGGCTAAAAAAAAGCATTAAAATGCAATGACACTTACATCGTCATCGCATCTCGTGTGCAACTGATAAGGCTGCCTGACGCACACCTAAAATTTGAATGCAATGCTTTTTTTTTTTTGCATTCGAATGGATTTTTATTTTAAATTCGACGAATATTCAAAAAAAACTATTTTGACAGCCCTAACTACGAATTTATTAGTAACCAGAAACTAACATTTGGTCTCAAACCAGTGCTCCCCCTAGTGAATGACAGCTAAATTTTCACACATTTTGGTGTTGTTTTATAAAATTGTTACCTGTTTGTAAATGATGTATGTATTATGTAATTGTAACAATTATTGCAGTTGTTGGTAAACTGTAAACTGGTTTTTACTGACCATTTGTTGAGAAAAGGGGGAAAAAAACTCAATTTTAAGAGCTTGAAATATTTTGTATATTTTTGTGCAAATGTAATGGTTGTGTTTGTGAAGTTTTTGCTGTAATGGTTAAATGAATTTGCAGGCAGTAGAGGAGGAGTCGGCACCTGCAAAGAAAGAGAAAACCCATTTTACAATCAAACTGACAGAATTCAAAGCGGCTGACAAAGTGAAACTGATTAAAGAAGTGAAGAATTGCATGGAGGGCCTGAATCTTGTACAGGTAAGATGTTTTTAAGTATTATGAAGGACTTTTTTTTAAAGGCCACAGTGGCATGAAGGCTAATCTAAATATATTTCAGTCTCTTATTAGCACATATCGGTCAGTTGCTGTCTATGTAGTTTGTTTCCAAAGTGTCAAAAGGCTGCAGACAGCAATGCAGCTCACTAGATTTTGTTACTCATGAATGTGAGTTGCTGCTGATTTTAATTTCTAAAGGACTCCGATTATTTTTCCTCTCATTTACAGGCCAAGAAGCTTGTAGAGTCTCTACCTCAGGAGATCCGGGCGAATGTGTTTAAAGACGAAGCAGAGAAACTGAAAGCAGCACTAGAAGCAGCAGGAGGCACTGTGGTGCTGGAGTGAATGTCTGCGTGCTGGCCCTTCACTTGATCACTTGTTACCTGTCAGTCATCGTTTTGTTCTGTTTTGTTCTTTTTTACGAAAAAAGGAATTTGAAGAAAACAAATAATGCCTTTAAAATGACCACTTGTTCCACAAGAGGTGGTCTGGGTGTTGAACTTACAGACTGAACTCTAATAGGCTCTGAGCCTGCAAACACACCACCCATCACTGACTCCTCCATCTGTCCTTTAGCTACACATGTGCTGTCCTGGGCAGGATGGATGGAGCTGGTCTGTCTCTGATACTGGGGATGTCCTGACAAAGGGATGTGATGCTATTGCTTGTGGTTAAATAAACATGTTATACCGTACTGTGTATCGTAATTGTATCATTATGGCTTATAGAGCAATAATCAATGCATTATAAAAGACCATTTTTGCCAGAAGTGAGTAACTGGTGTTCACTGCACAATGAATAATACTGTATCTCGTTATTTTTAAAGAGATATTTCACCTAAAATGTCACCCAGTTTTTTTTTGTTTTTATCCAACTGCTGCTCACATCTCACATTTCTCAGTGCAAAAGCCCATTCTGTGTGAATGAACCCTAAACATGCTGCAGAACATCTTTTATTCAACAGAATAAAATACAGGACCACATGTGTGAACTATCCAGTTAAGCATGTAATAACGTGTCAAGCATTTTCTCTGTTTTTGGTACTGGTGAAAATCTGACCGATTAAGCCGAGTTTAAATTCAGTATTGATTGTGCTGCCTGAAACCGAGAAATCTGACTGACCTAAAAGTATGTCAAGATTATGAAAAACATTATCTACATCGTAATTTAGATTCTTAAGTGACAATTCTGTAATCTAATGACTGGAATATACACTACACTATTTTTTTTTTCCCCCCAATCTAGTCTGGAGAAGTCGATAAATAGTTGCAGAAAGTCAGAGACAGGCTGCAGATTTGGTTGGAGTTGACCGATTTAGCAGTAAATTGCGTTTGGAACTATTTTCATTCACCAAATCGAGCAAAAACAGTCAACACTGACAATATATTCTTTCAATAAATTCAAATATTGAACTAAAATGTATGTTAACTACTCGTTTTAACTCTTGTATAAAATGTCAAATTTGCAATCGTGGTTTTCAGGGAAAACGTCACTCTCTTGGTCATGTTGCTCAACATATGCTGTGTGTTATAAATATAAAAACTAAGTTACATTTTTATGTTTCTTCTGTGTTTTAATTTCTCCACGAGATTCTCTCACAGACAGGCTGTGTGAGCCTCAACTGGCGCGATCTTGTTGTTATTGTTAATTATCCATTATCAATTGCCATTTACCCCGAATGTAATAAAACCAGAATCATTCAAATGTCTGTGCTTCCCTAATTAGATGTTTTAATCAGATTAGTTGTCCGGTCGGGCAAGTAAAAAATCTCTTCTTTCACTTGCCCCTTCAAAAAAAATCCACTTGTCCCAGACAAGCATTAATGTCAAGCAGGGCCGGACTGGGACGCAATTTCAGGCCGGGAAATCTCACACTCATCCAGGCCACACAGAAAAAAAGGGGCCAAAATTGTACCTTTTGGGGTACAACAGCTTGACACTGTAGCAGTACACTTAAAAGGACATCGTTGTACCTTTTTTACCCCTAATATGAACCTATTAGTACCTTAGAGTAGTAATTTGTACCCTTAAAGTACTAATTTGTAGGCCTACCTATTAGGGGTAAAAAAGGAACAAATATGTCCTTTTAAGAGTACTGCTACCATGTCAAGCTGTTGTACCCCAAAAGGTACAATTTTGGCCCTTTTTTTCTGTATATAGCTTATGCATCCACTACAATTTCTGAAACCACAGACAACCCTACTATTTGTATAATGGCCATCACATAAAAATGTCTAAACACTTAGTCTAAGGCCATGGAAAATAAGTAAAGGTTCTCTCTTTAACTGTACCAATTCACTTCCCTTTTCCTTTTCTTCATTTTCCCCAATATCTCTGTCTCTCCCTTCTTTTTCTTACCTGTAACTTCTTCACCAGCAGGTCTACTGTTATGAACAGAACTGTGTCCACCTTGTTGAAAACAACCACCTCATTTCAATTTGTTAGCACAGCATGTTATTTATCTTAAAATGACTTAAAGTATTTCAGATAAATGCTGTTCTTCTGAACTTTCTATTCATCAAAGAAACCTGAAAAAAAAATCGAATCTGTTTTCAACATAATAATAATAAATGTTTTTTGAGCAGCAAATCAGAATATTAGAATGATTTCTTAAGGATTAACGTGCAAAACTCAGATTAATGATGCTGAAAATTCAGCTTTGAAATCGCAGGAATAAATTACAGTTTAAAATATATTCAAATAGAAAGCAGTCATTTTAAATAATAAAAATATTTCACAATATTGTTGTTTTTGCTGTATTTTGGATCAAATAAATGCAGGCTTGGTGAGCAGAAGAGACTTCTTTAAAAAACATTGCAAAATCTTACTGATCAAAACCTTTTGACTGGTATATTAAAACAATTTCTAAAGTGCCCAAATGTCAAAATTAATACAATATATTTGTAGAAAAACTGTAATACTGAACACACTATTGAAATTGTTAGGCTGTGACTCATATTATTTTTGTGTTGCTGTCTCTAGCTCCCGCCTCTGCTAAATTTTTTTATGTAACTTTACAATCGATATCGATGTCCTATAGCAGGGATCCTCAAATCTGGCCCACGAGATTCACTTTCCTGCAGAGTTTAGCTCTAACCCTAATCAAACACACTTGAGTTTGCTAATCAATGTCTTCCGGATCATTAGAAAATCACAGGTAGGCCTATAGTTGTTTGATTAGGGTTGGCGCTAAACCCTGCAGGAAAGTGGATCTCGCGAGCCAGATTTGAGGATCACTGGTCTCTTGTTCACTCAGTCTTAAACAAAATAACTCGTTGCAGGCCTGGGACGTGGCTTGAGAGCGTGGTGGCCAAAAACAAAAACTGGCCGCTTCACTTTACAAACAACACAAAATGTGTTTAACTGCACGTACTTTATAGTACTCACGACCTGAGAGGCTGTATCTAGTCCAGTGACCACGAACAACAGGCACAACTGTACAGGGCGGCAAGTTCAGCAGATACGGGATCCAGTGAAGAGTATTCAGCGCCACAACTCATCAAAGAAAACTTATTTTTCCATGGATCAGGAGATTTTCCCGGTCAACAAACAAATGGCTAAAAAAACAACTGTCCGTTTCCTGTGTAAAATATTATATTATCAGTACAAGCAACTTATAAAATAAATTACAGAATAATACAGACATTATTGGTGAATATAATACCATGTACCAACATTTTAACAGTCACTAACTGTAGGCTAACATGCTATTCGCGATTAGCATTTTTCCCAACGTTATGTCGCATTAAATACACACAGTAGTAAACACAAGAAACAGATAATTTACCTTTAAACAAGTAGATAAGCATCCCAGAAGAGCACAACGATTTGTCATCCATATTACTGGGTGTACTTTATCATATTTGTAGAGAACTAACGTGGATTAATGAAGCTGACCTGCACTTGAAGCCCTGAACAGGTCAGTGAAGTTGCTACATTTCACTGCTTCTTCTGGCCGCTTCCTCTCTTTCATCGAGTCCCGCGCATCAGTGTTGCCAATTTGGGGATTTTGTCGCCAAATTTTGCTACTTTCTCATTGTAGCTGCGACTTTTTTTTATTTTTTGCGACAAGGAGCTATTTTAGCTATATTTAAATAAAACTAGCGATTTTTTGGAGATTTTTTATTTTTTAATTGGCCACACCCTGCCGTAGTCCCGTGACCTCTCACGTTTGCTCTCAATCA